GGCATCACCATCCCGGATTTCCAGCTCTATTATAGAGCTATAGTCCTGAAAACAGCTTGGTATTCACACTAAAATAGATAGGTTGACCAATGGAATCGAATTGAAAACCCAGATATTAACCCACACACCTACAAACACCTGATTTGTGACAAAGAAGCTAAAGGTATACAATGGAATAAAGAAAACATCTTCAATAAATGGTGCTGGCATAACTGGATGCTGGAAAATGGATTAAAGGTCTCAACATAAATCCAGCCACACGGAACTTATTAGAAGAGAAAGTAGGAAATACCCTTGAATTAATTGGGACAGGAGATCACTTCCTGAACATTACACCAGTAGCACAGACACTGAGATCCACAATTAATAAATGGGACCTCCTGAAACTGAGAAGCTTCTGTAAGGCAAAGGACACAGTCAACAAGACAAAACGACAGCCCACAGATTGGGAAAAGATCTTCACCAATCCCACATCTGACAGAGGGCTGATCTCCAAAATTTACAAAGAACTCAAGAAGCTAGTCTCCAAAACACCAAATAATCCAATTAAAATGTGGGTTACAGAACTAAATAGACAATTCTCAATAGAGGAATCTAAAATGGCTGAAAGACACATAAGAAAGTGTTCAACATCCTTAGCCACCAGGGAAATGCAAATCAAAACAACTCTGAGACACCATCTTACTCCTACCAGAATGGCTAAAATCAAAAACACCAATGACAGTTTATGCTAGAGCGGTTGTGGAGAAAGGAGAACACTCCTCCACTGCTGGTGGGAGTGCCAACTTGTACAGCCACTTTGGAAATTTGTATAGCGATTCCTCAGGAAAGTGGGAATCAGTCTACCACAAGATCCAGCAATTCCACTCTTAGTCATATACCCAAAAGAGGCACATTCAGACAACAAGGACATCTGTTCAACAGTGTTCATAGCAGCATTGTTTGCAATAGCCAGAACCTGGAAGCAACCTAGATGCCCCTCAACTGAAGAATGGATAGAAAAAATGTGAAACATTTACTAAATGGAGTACTACTCAGCAGGGAAAAAAGGCAATGGAATCTTGAAATTCACAGGCAAATGGATGGAACTAGAAGAAACAATTTTGAACGAGGTAACCCAGTCACAAAAAGACAAACATGATATGTACTCACTCATATGCGGATTTTAGACATAGAGTAAAGGATTGCCAGCCTGCAGCCCAGGCTGCCAGAGAGGCTGGGAAACCAGGAGGATCCTAAGAGAGACATACATGGTCCCCTGGAGAAGGGGAAAGGGACAAGATCTCCTGAGAAAATTGGGAGCATGGTGGGAGGGGAGGGAACAAGAGAATGAGAAGGGGAGAAGAGGAGGGTTGAGGAAGACATGATGGACAGGGAGGTTGAGCTGGGGGAAGAACAGAAGAGAGCAAGATAAGAGATAGCATAATAGAGGGAGACATTATAGGTTTAAAGAGAAATCAGGCACTAGGGAAATGTCTGGATAGCTACAAAGAAGACACCGACTAACAATCTAAGCAACAGCAGAGAGGCTAACTTAAATGCCCTGTCCTGATAATGAGATTGATGACTAATTCATCTGCCATCATATAGCCTTCATCCAGCAGCTGGTGGAAGTAGAAGCAGACACCCATAGCTAAACCATGAACTGAACTGACATCCAGAGGCAGAGAAGGAGGACTGATGAGCAAATGGGTCCAGATCCCCCGAATATGGGTGTCAGTGAGGAGACCTTGGAAATCTATGGGGCCTCTTGTAGTGGATCAGTACTTATAGCTACCATAGGAATGGACTTCAGGAGCCCATCTCCCATGGAGGGATACTCCCTGAGCCTAGACACAAGAGGGTTGGCCTAGGCCCTATCCCAAAGAATATGACAAATTTTAAAGACCCCCTATGGAAGGCCTCACCCTTCCTCGGGAGCAGAAAGGGTATGGGATGGGTAGGGTGTTAGTTGTGGGGGCAAAGGAGGAGGGGAGGGAGAGGGACCTGGGATTGACATGTAAAATAATTTTATTGCTAATAAAAAAGAAAAAAACCTGAATATATAATTTCACTATTCCTGCAGCTTTGTTAATAATCACTTTTCTTGAGGCAGGGCCTCACTTCTGTACCCCTGGCTGGTCTCAAACTCAGAGATGCATCTTCCTCTGCTTCCCAATCCTGGGATTAAAGGTGAGCACCAACCACACTCTACAGAAGAAGATTTCAATAAATATATGCTTAATACAAATCTAAGATTCTCCAGTCTGAGGACGATTACTTCTGGAACATTGTGTTAAGTCATCCTGACAGGTTTGAGAAAGACCGCTGATGAGAACTGATCTCCTGTGGGTCCATGCTCCTCCCTCAGCTATTCCTCTCTCTCTCCAGGTGCTGCCAGACTCACGACCACTGCTATGATCAGGCGAATGAGTTGGAAAGCTGCACATTCCTAGACAGCCCCTACACCACCACCTACTCATACTCGTGCTCTGGGAATGAGATCACCTGCAGTGGTAGGTTTACCCTCTGGGGACTCTGGATTCTGCTTGGTCCTGGATGGGTTTGAAGGGGCAGTGAAGTAACAAGGACAGCCACCACTTCATGGACATTTCCCTGATCTCATTTGAAGTCAAAACAACCTTACCAGGTAGACACTAAAATATAGATGAGGTCTCTGGCAAGGAAGACAAGGAAGGTCCAGCCACTTGCCCAAAGTCACCCAGCTTAGAAGTGGGATTTGTTTCTGGAACAAAGATCTACATCATTCTGAACCTCTTTAGTAAAAACATTTAAAGTATTTGTGTATTGCTTGGAATGCATGCCTGTGCCACAGAACAGGTGTGGGTCTCTGAGGACAACTTGCAGGAATTTGTTCTCTCCTTTGACAATGTGAGTCCTGGGGATGAAAGTTGGGTTCATTCAGACTTGGCAGCAAATGCCTTTATTCCCTGAGCCATCTTGCCTGACCAAAGTCTCACCAAGTAGCTGCTGATTTCATATTTACTAAATGATTACAAGGTACATCATTGGCTATAAGAAAACAATGGACCAAATGCATATTCAGGGCAAGATTTATTTATTTATTTATTTGGTTTTTCGAGACAGGGTTTCTCTGTGTAGCTTTGGAGCCTATCCTGGCACTCGCTCTGGAGATCAGGCTGGCCGCGAACTCACAGAGATCCACCTGCCTCTGCCTCCTGAGTGCTGGGATTAAAGGTGTGCTCCACCAACGGCCGGCTCAGGGCAAGATTTATTATTCACATTTTACATGTGAGCATTCAGACAGCTGGGAATATAGCTCAGTTGCTAGAGAGCTTGCCTAGTGTGCACAGAGTCCTGGGTCCCACCTCCACCATACATTGAGCACGGTGGTGCATACCTGCAATCCCTGCACTTTCAAGGTGGAAACTGAAGGACTGTCTTAAAACATAATTGTAGGAGTGGTGGTTGATGTTTATAGTTTTCCTGGTTTTATGATCAAATACACAGGTTCGTTTAATTTTATGTTTAGGATTAGTCCACATCCTGTGTCTTCTTCAGTCACTCTACAATGTCGTTAGAGTCTGTGTCTCTCACTAAACAGGACACTCACCTTTAGCTAACCTGACAGACCAACAAGTTGTGGGGATCTATGCTCCACACTTGCCAAAAGAGTTGCTGATGCCCAAACCACACCTTGCTTTTCACATGGGCCCTGGGCATCCTAGCTCAGGCCCTCATGCTTGTATGGAAACCACTTTACCAACTGTGCCATCTCCCCAACCGCACAATGATGAAGTTTTTATTTTTTGTGTGTTCCAGCAATTTGGGCAACCCAAAGTCCTTTTGTGTGGTCTGTTTCTCAACTCTAAGTCCGCACCATTGGGGGACAAGTGTCTTTTGCTTATAAATTATATAGAGTAGGGTGGTGGGCTCCAGACAGCTTCCTTTCTTGTTTCTCTGTAGACAAGAACAACGCCTGTGAGGCCTTCATCTGCAGCTGTGACCGCCAGGCAGCCATCTGCTTCTCCAAGGCTCCATACAACAAGGAGAACAAAGGCATTCACTGTTAGAATTGTCACCTCACTTACTGCCTACACCACCCCTGCCTCCATGTTTGTGTTCAACACACACTGTATCCTCTAATAAATCATGTATTGAAAGAGCTGGGCTTCAGTGTCTGTATTCTCTGTGTACAGAACATAACTCAACCCTCAGAGAACATCATTCATATAGTTCTAGAAGCTGAGGATTAATGGGAAAGATATTGCCATTAGCGGAGCACCTTGAAGAGTAGGTGAGGAACTCAGCCATGCCTTTCATCCCAGCATTCTGGGATGCAGAGGCAGAAGAAGGCAAATCTCTTGAGTTCAAAGCCAACTTAGTCTGCAAAGTGAGTTCCAGGGCAGGCAGCACTATTACACAAAGAAACCCTAGTTCAAGAAAAACCAATAACAACAAAAGAACAACTCAGCCTGAGATACATAGGGAGTAGGAGAAGGCAGAAGGGATCAGGGAGGGGAGAGATGAAGAAGGGATAGGAACAGGAAAGGAGGGGGAGGAGGGAGGAGGGAAGAAAACACCCAACAGGAAGATAGGAGGAGACAGAAGAGAGAAAGACACAGTATCACATGGGCACTAAAGGAACATCTTGGTCCTAGAAACACTGGACTCAGAACGCTTCTGCTGTGTGCTCATTATAGGAACTTGGATGCAGGAAACCAAAGTGGACTGACTGTTAGTGACCCGAAGGCAGGATTACATCCTGTTGGCCTTTGAGTCTTCACTGTGCCTAAACACATGCAACAGGATAATTGTTCTGCTAAAATACATAGAATTTTAGCTTTGTGCAATAAACAAAACCATCATGCCCTTTTGTAAACCTTTTTCTATCATCGAAGCCAACATGTGAAGCCAGGTTTTGTCTGGTTCTCTGGTCAACCAGATTTAGGAAGGTGTTTCCTTGGCTGACTTAAGGCTATGTGGTTCTCAGTCTCTCTTCTACTTCATTGAACAGCTGCCCAGTCCTCTGGTCCCCCCCTCCCCCCGCATGCCCACTACTGTCCCAAAGCTCTGGTCTTGTCCTTCCCTATGTCAGGTCTGATGAAGAAGCTAGAGCCCCATGCACAGGCCGAGTGACTGGCAGTAGCTGGTTGTGTCTGTCCAGAGAGAGTCCTGCTGGAAGGGTAGAAGGAGCTTGAATATGGAGACATCCTACTCAACTCATCCCCTACAAGGTTTTTATTCATGGAAGAGGGTAGAAGTGGTATAAAGGAGGTTTGGGGGTGCTAAGGGGGAGGGAACATGAGAGATGTCCAACCTTGAGGCAAGATGTCATTGTGCCAGCAGACATTGGTCAGCAGCCACCATGTGGTTGCTGAGAATTGAACCCTGGTCCCCAGCAAGAGCAGAATGTGCTCTTAAGTGCTAAACCATCCATAGAGCCACTGTAATGGTTGATTGTCAGCTTCACACACTGGGGAGGGAGAGCCTCAGCTGAAGGATTGCCTGCATCACACTGGCCTGTGGGCACAGCTGCTGCACATTTGCTTTCTTTGTCTCTTTACTTTTTCTTTTTGACTTTTGGTGACAGGGTGTCATTGTGTTCTGTTGTGTCCAGAAAGTCACTAGTAGATCAGGTTTGTAGTTGTGATTTTTTGGGTTTGTTTGTATGTTTGTTTTTTTGTCTTTTACTCCTTTGGCTCTTTGGGTGCCCACCACCAAGCTCCCAAATAAATGAAACAGAGCTTTATTCTTTCTTATGGATCTCTGGCCTTAGGTTGGCTTGTTTCTAGCCAGCCTTGCTTAAATTATGCCATCTACCTTTTGCCTCTGGGCTTTCATCTTTCTCTGTTCTGTATATCTATCTTTACTTCTTAGTCCATGACTTGCTGTGTAGCTTTGTGGCTGCACCCTGGTGTTCTCTCTCCTTTTATCATTACCCTATCTATTCTGTCTGTCCTTTCTCCTGCCTTGCTATTGGCCTTTCAGCTCTTTATTAGACCAGGCATGTGTTTTAGACAGGCATAGTAACACAGCTTCATAGAGTTAAACAAATGCCACATAAAATAATGCAACACATATTTGCATCATTAAACAAATGTAACACATCTTAAAATAATATTTCACAACATTTCCTCCTTTTTGTCTAAATAAAAATGGTATGTTTTAACTTTAACATACTAAACCTATATACAACAGAAACAGGTATCAAGTAAGAATTACATTTACATTATTTGCATTTAGCAAATTCAGAAAAAATACTCAATTGTCTATCTTATATTAGTCTCTCCAAAGTTTTGTACCTAATTTACTTTCTATCTTAATTAAAGAAAACTATAACTATCCAGTTTCAACTCCAGCCAAGTTCCCAGAAGGATATAATATAACCTATTTTAACAGGGAGTGCATTGCAAACCAATTCCACAACACTTGAAATGACAGAGACATCTGACTGTCTGGACAGTCACCCAAAGTTCTCAGCAATGTTGTGGCATCCATCTTCAGCCAATAGCCCTACGGTATCTGATAGACTTTTCAGTGATGCAGGAAAATTGAAGAACTATCATTCTTTGTTTTGGCAAAGTTCAGGAGTCACATTCCTGTGGGTCCTGCATATCCATTTTACACAACATACTGTCAAGTATTCCAGGCAAGGGCAGTTTCTTGCAGATTGTCGTTTTTACTATGTTGATCCTAGCTATCTAAGAGCATGGGAGATCCTTCCATTTTCTACTATGTTCTTTAAGTTCTTTCTAAGACTTAAAGTTCTTGTCATACAGGTATTTCACTTGTTTGGTTAGAGTTATCTCAAGATATTTTGTGCTGTTTGTGTCTATTGTGAAGGGCAATGTTTCTATGATTTCTTTCTAGCCCATTTATTGTTTATATGTAGGAGAGCTACTGAGTTTTTTGAGTTAATGTTGTATACTGCTACTTTACTGAAGGTGTTTACCAGCTGTAGGAGTTCCCCCCCTTCTACTCTCTTCCCTAAATAAAAAACCTTGTAGGGGGTGAGTTGATTGGTTGTCTCCATGTTCAAGCTACTTTTACCCTTCCCTCAGGAATCTGGACAGCTACAACCAGCTACACCTATCCCTCCCTCATTTCTCTCCTCCCTTTCTCTTTCTGTCTGCTCCTAAGCCCTATGTATTTCAGGCTGAGTTGTTCTTTTTTTGTAGTTGGTTTTTTTGAAGCAGGGTTTTTCTGTGTAATAGTCCTGGCTGTCCTGGAACTTGTTTTTTTTTTTTTTAAACCAGGATTGCATTGAACACATGAGATCTGCCTTCTTCTTCCTATGCATTTCTGAGTGCTGGGATGAAAGGCATGGCTGGTCTTAACACCCACTCTTCAAAGAGCTCCCCTAATGAAATGTCTTTCCCATTAATGCTCAGCTTCCAGTACTAGAGGGAATGATGTTCTCTAAGGATCTAGTATGTTTTGTAGACAGAGAATACAGTCACCAATCCTAGTTCTTTCAATAGATGGTTTATTAGAGGGCACAGTGTGTAGTGAGCACAACCAGGCATGCTGGCATGATGTAGGCAGTAACTGACGTGACAGGTCTAATAGTGAATGCTTATGTACTTCTTCTGCTTTGGAGTCTCGGAGAAGAAGATGGTTGCCTGGTGGTCATAGTTGCAAAAACCTCACAAGTGTTGGTTTTTGTCTGCAGGGAAACAAGAAAGGAAGTTGAGTGGAGCTGGTCACCCATACTCTGTACAATATGACCAAAGACACTGGTCACCCTCCCAATGGTTCAGATTTAGGGTTGAAAAACAGACCACACAAAAGAACATTGTGTTGCCCAAATTGCTGGAACACACTTATAATAAAAAATCATTGTTGTGAGGCTGGGTTATAGCACAGTGGGTAAAATGGTTGGCATACAAGCATGCGGCCCTGAGCTAGGATGCCCAGAGCCCTGTGAAAAGGAAGGTGTTGTTGGAGTATCTAAGGCATTATTGGGAAATGGGGAGCACAGATCCCCACAACTTGTTGGTCAGTTAGGTTAGCTAAAGGTGAGTGTCCTATTTAGTGAGAGACCAGCCTCTAAAGACATGGTAGAGAGTGACTGAAGAAGACACTTGTGGCAACACATTCCTATACATAAAAATAAGTAAACCTGTGTATTTAATCCTAAAACCAGGAAAACCACCACTTCTAAAGTCATATGATTTATGACAATTCTCCCACCTCAAGCTCCCAAGATCCGGGATTGAATGTGTGCACCACCACACTAAGTTATGGGTTTTGTGGGTGGAACCCAGGGCTCTGTGCACTCTAGACAAGCACTCTCACAACTGAACTGTATTCCCAGCCCTCTGAATCCTTACCTGAAAATAGAAATGATAAATCTTGCCCTGCATAGGGTGTTTAGTCCAGTGTTTGGCTTATAGCCAATTGTGCAGCTTCCAATAGTTTAGCAAAGACGGAGTCAGCATAACACAGCAACTAATAGGAGAGGTTTTGGGCAGCCAAGATGGCTTAGGAAATAAAGGCACTTTCTGCCAAGTGTGAACCTGACCTCCATCCCAAGGACTCACATGGTCAAAGAAGATAACAGACTCATGCATGTTGTCCTCAGACCTCCACACCTATGCTGTCGAACAGTCATGTCTCCCCAGAAATACATAAATACTTTAATGGATTTAAAAAAGAGGCTATGGAATGTCATAGATCTGTGTTCCAGAAGCAAACATCATCACTTCTAAGCTAGGTGACATTGGTCAAGTGGCTGGACCTTCCTCAATTTCCTTCCTCATCAGTGCCCTCATCTACATTTTAGTGCCTACCTGACAAGGTGGTGGTGAAGTCAAATGAGATCAAAGAAATGACCACTAAGTGGTTACTGTCCTTGTTACTTCCTGGCCCCTTCCAAACCTGTCACAGACCAAGCAAAATCCAGCATTCCTAGAGGGTAAACCTACCAGTGCAGGTGACCTCATTCCCAGAGCACAAGTATGAGTAGGATCTGATGTAGGGGTTGTATATGAGGAATGTGCATCTTTCCAGCTTCTTGACCTGCAGGTAGCAGTGGTTGTGAGTCTGGCAGCACCAGGAGAGAATAAGG